GCCTCCCTGTAAACCTTGTTTTACAAGGAAGAAGGGATGTTCCAAAAAAGATGCGATGTTCCCCCCCATATTTGGCCCAGTGTAGACGGGCCAAATGTCAGAAAAGCTGCTTCTGAAAAAAGATAAGCACAGTGCGGTTCACAATTTGTGTATCTTGTTCCGGAAGAACTGTGTAGCCTACACATAACCTCATGGGCAGCTTTATGGGCTTCGAGGGCCAATTCAGGAGCAGCATTTTGGGCTCTCTCTTCTGTGTCTTTTTCAAATAGTTTCAGTGTCAGGCTCTCTCATGGGCAGCTTTCTGGGTTTCTAATTCTTTCTCCTTCAGTTGCAGGTTAATCTCTGGGGCTACGTTTACACTGAAGCCTTTGTCGGCAGAGCCAATGCAAATGAAGTGCTCATTAGCTTTTCTCACGCTCTCATTTGCATAGTGGTAGAAGCTCATCACCTATTAAACCATCTTGTTAGTCTTTCAAGTGCTACATAGTCCTGTTTGTCTCATTTGCATAGTCTCTTCCAAAAACCACAGTGTAAGTCTTTCAAGTGCTACATAGTCCTGTTTTTTGTCTCATTTCCATAGTCTCTTCCAAAAACCACAGTGTGGACAGGGCAAACCCCCTGCTTTTTTGAGGAATACGGGTTCTTGCGCAAAAGGGGTTTTTTTTTTTGCACAAAATGGCCCTGGCTACACGGCGTTTTTTTGTGCAAAAACCTCTTCTGCAAAATGGATCAGAAGAGACTATGCAAATGAGAGGGTGAGAAATGCTAATGAGCGCTTTATTTGCATTGTCTCTGCCGACAAAGGCTGCAGTGTAGACGTAGCCTGGGCTTCCGTGGCTCTCTCATGGGCAGCCTTTCCGCTGGGAGTGTGTGCTTCTGTCTCAAGCCTCCTTAATTCCATTGGCCTTTTATGAATTTCCTCCTCCACTGCACCTTGGGCCCTGTGAAGTTTCACTTTATTTTGAGCCTGACTCTCTCTCTGCTGATTTTTCTGCCTCTATTTCCCTTGCCCAAAATAAGCACACAGAAAACAATAAACTGGGAACCATTCTGCCTGTTCGCCAGCCACCATAATTAGAACACATTTCAAATCCCTGCTAGCATCCGGAGCAACCCGCTGTGCACATTACCTGGTTCGCGGCGTCGCTGTGATGGATTGAATCACAGACAGCCCCTGCGGGTTGCCCGGTGTGCTGATCATGCCACCGACACCCACCTTCCTGGGGGCTCCTCACCACCCTGTCCTGCTGGGCCAGATGCTCTGGTTGAGCCCAGACAAGTCACCAAGTTGGGGTTACCGCCCCCTGCAGAACAACCCAGACATTGAAATATCTCAGTTATAGGAGGGCTCAGTTCTAAGGGCTCAGCACCCAGGAAACCAACCCCCAAAAGGGAACAAAAACCCAAATAAATCTGTTTTATTCTGTATAAAAGTTTTACACGGAGAACGCTCATTTGGTCAGATCTGCCTCCTTTATCAGTGAAAGAGAGAGATGCACAGTGGTTGTCCTCCCTTTCCACGTAACAATTATTTACACTGGGCTTGTCTTAAACAAGGGTTTTGTTAAATACAGACATAGGATTTAAGTGGTTGCAAGTGAAAACAGTCAGATTCTAAACAGATTCACGTTTAAGTGGTTGCAAGTGAAAGCAGTCAGATTCTAAACAGATTCACACTTCATATTGATACATATTTCCCATGCAAGAATGATACATGCACAAAAACAGGATATGCTGATTCAGCACTTTGTAACTGTAAAATTGATGTTATAGGACCTGTTCTGCATGAAGTTATTTTCATCCTGTCACTGGACACATAACTTAGGGCTGTGGGGGCCCATGTATAGAGCAGGGGTTCCCAACTGTTTCGAGCATATGGACCCCCTTTTCAATCTATTAAAATTCCGTGGACCCTCCCTCCCTGGGGGAGGGGAAAAAAGGAAAAGAAAAGTAAGGAAAGAAAAAGAAAAGAAAAGTAAGGATCGGGCCCCTCATGGTGGGCCTGATCCTTATTCTTAAACTTTCCAAGGACCCCCTGCAGTACTGTCACAGACCTCCAGGGGTCCGCGGACCACGGGTTGGGAACCACTGGTCTCTAGGGCAGCAGTCTCCAAGCTTTTTAAGCACATCACTTTTGGAATTTAAGTGCAATCCAGGATCTACCTCAAACCCAAACACCCTGGCCCCGCCTCCTTCCCACCCCTTCTCCAAGGCCCCGCCCCTGCTCACTCCATCCTCCCTCCCTCATCCTCACTCACTTTTATCAGGCTGGGGGCAGAGGTTTGGGGGGCAGGAAGGATTCAGGACTGGGGCTGGGGTTTGGAATGTGGGCTCCAGCTGGGCACCTCTTACCACATGTGGCTTCTGGGTGGTGGTGCAGGGGGCTAAGGCAGGCTCACCCCTCCCCTGGCCCTCAAAAGCAGCCAGCAAACTCTCTCCATCCCTGCCCCCCTCTGCTCTGTGGAGATGGGGTACAGGGTGAGGGGAGGGGCACCCTGACATCAGCAGCACCCTCCTCTTCTTCCCGTGCCCTGCATAGCAAGCAGGAGGCTTCCGGGAGTGAGGGGCACCTCCAGGGAAGAGGGTAGTGCTGGGAGGGACAGACAAAGTGCCAAACCTGTTAGGGTCGCCTATCAGTTTCCAAGATCTACCAGTAGATCCCGATCTATTGGCCGGTGACTACCGGTCTAGAGAATATTTCTGGGTAGCTGGGTCCCACGAGCCCTCTCTAAACCCATTTGCTGCCCCTATTTGCGAGCTCCTCTGGTCACTTACATGCTGGCTTTCCAACCCCTTTCTCCCTGAGTTAGCTGCACCCCCCCATCAAGGGATCCAAAGGGATTGGGGATCAAAGCAGAGGTGAAGGTAAGAGGGTGCGCCCCGGTGCACTGCTCCTGCAGGGAGTTTTTGGAAGAGCTGGCAGGGCCCTGGGTTGCAATAGGACAGTAGCTGTAAGACATTTCAATTAATGTCACCCCCAGAGCTCTCCTGACAGAGCAGGCCACTAGGCTCGGCACACAGCCCCCCGGAACAGAGCCCTCGATAAATGTCAATCAGGCCAGCATGCAACAACCGGCAGATGTGCTTTGTATCGCGAGCCCCAGGTTCAAGCCCCCCCCAGGGGACTCAACCAGGTGCTGTCTTTACACAGGCATGAACAATTGCAGCCCACATGCTGAGCAGCAGTGGGGAAGATGCCAGGGGCAGGCCACGCTATCAGCTGGGACATCAGCCTCTCTTCCCCACTGCCAGCAAACCCGACGCCACGCTGGCACCAGGGCGGAGTTGCTTGTGCCCATGCACCCCGGTGGGGGAGAGGACAAGGAGGGGCAGAATTCTGGAAGCTGAGGGAGGAGCTAGAAGGAAGGCCTTGCCAACCTGAAAAGTGTGAGAGGAAGGCCTTGCCAACCTGAAAAGTGTGTGACCCTGCCCCGGACAACCTCATCTTCCTGGACACACCCCCACTGTCTGGTGTGCAGAACCACAGGCGCAGTGGAAAGCAGGTTCCAGCAGAGGGGGGAAGATGAGGCAGCTGGTGAAAGGAAAGGAGAAGGCTGGGATGCAAAAGGGGAGGAGACAGGGTGCTAGGCGAGAGGTTACATCCAGGCACACGCCCCTCCAGGGCGGTAGGGTGTTTTCGGCTAAGGCAGGTACGGTACAGAGAGGGTGAGAATGTACCTGCTAAGCAAGGGCCCTGTTCTAGCCTAGACTAAAGTTGGGAAGTGGCTTCCCCAAGGTCAGGGGAGAACAGAATCCAGGTCCCCTTTCACTCTGCTCCCTTGCCAATGGGCTCCCCAGGGCAGCAAGCCGAGGCAAGAGCCATGTGACGGGCGGGAGCCAGAACTCCGGGTCTTGGGGGAGCCCTGGATGAGCAGCTGGTGTGTGAGGTCAGTCATGTGTGCCTGGAGGTCACAGGAGCGGGAGGCCTGCATGGGGAGACCGGGCTGCCAGCTCAGCCCTGTGGCCAGTGAGCCTGGCCTGAGATGGAAAGGCCCACGTTGCCCAGGGCCCTGTCTGCCCACAGCGGCCAGCGCCAGGTGCCCCAGAGGAACTGAACAGAACAGGGAATCCTCACGTGATCCCGGCCCCTGGCAAACAGGCTCGGGACGCCCTCCCGGCCCACCCTGGCTGATCAGTAGCCACGGCCCCAGCTCACGTGGGACGGCTCTGAAGGGCCCAACTTCTAGTGGTGAGGGGGCTAGACCAAGGTGCGCAGTTGTAGGTGGTGAGAGCCACTGGCCCAAACTGTAACCCTGAACAGAATGGAACAGCTGCAAGGCCAGGGGTGTGTCCGCAGCACCCCTCGTCGCAGCACCCCCGGCTCCGGGGGATCCCTGCCCCTGTGGTCCCAGCACCCCTGGCTCCGGGGGATCCCTGCCCCTGTGGTCCCAGCACCCCTGGCTCCGGGGGATCCCTGCCCCTGTGGTCCCAGCACCCCTGGCTCCGGGGGATCCCTGCCCCTGTGGTCCCAGCACCCCTGGCTCCGGGGGATCCCTGCCCCTGTGGTCCCAGCACCCCTGGCTCCGGGGGATCCCTGCCCCTGTGGTCCCAGCACCCCTGGCTCCGGGGGATCCCTGCCCCTGTGGTCCCAGCACCCCTGGCTCCGGGGGATCCCTGGCCCTGTGGTCCCAGCACCCCTGGCTCCGGGGGATCCCTGCCCCTGTGGTCCCAGCACCCCTGGCTCCGGGGGATCCCTGGCCCTGTGGTCCCAGCACCCCTGGCTCCGGGGGATCCCTGGCCCTGTGGTCCCAGCACCCCTGGCTCCGGGGGATCCCTGCCCCTGTGGTCCCAGCACCCCTGGCTCCGGGGGATCCCTGGCCCTGTGGTCCCAGCACCCCTGGCTCCGGGGGATCCCTGGCCCTGTGGTCCCAGCACCCCTGGCTCCGGGGGATCCCTGCCCCTGTGGTCCCAGCACCCCTGGCTCCGGGGGATCCCTGGCCCTGTGGTCCCAGCACCCCTGGCTCCGGGGGATCCCTGGCCCTGTGGTCCCAGCACCCCTGGCTCCGGGGGATCCCTGCCCCTGTGGTCCCAGCACCCCTGGCTCCGGGGGATCCCTGGCCCTGTGGTCCCAGCACCCCTGGCTCCGGGGGATCCCTGGCCCTGTGGTCCCAGCACCCCTGGCTCCGGGGGATCCCTGCCCCTGTGGTCCCAGCACCCCTGGCTCCGGGGGATCCCTGGCCCTGTGGTCCCAGCACCCCTGGCTCCGGGGGATCCCTGGCCCTGTGGTCCCAGCACCCCTGGCTCCGGGGGATCCCTGCCCCTGTGGTCCCAGCACCCCTGGCTCCGGGGGATCCCTGGCCCTGTGGTCCCAGCACCCCTGGCTCCGGGGGATCCCTGGCCCTGTGGTCCCAGCACCCCTGGCTCCGGGGGATCCCTGCCCCTGTGGTCCCAGCACCCCTGGCTCCGGGGGATCCCTGGCCCTGTGGTCCCAGCACCCCTGGCTCCGGGGGATCCCTGGCCCTGTGGTCCCAGCACCCCTGGCTCCGGGGGATCCCTGCCCCTGTGGTCCCAGCACCCCTGGCTCCGGGGGATCCCTGGCCCTGTGGTCCCAGCACCCCTGGCTCCGGGGGATCCCTGCCCCTGTGGTCCCAGCACCCCTGGCTCCG